TGTGGGCTCGTGGTTATATCCCACGGGATAAAAATTGCATTTTATATATATATATATATATATATATATATATATATATATATATTTAAGACTGTTTTCTCTAAATCAAGTGATTTTAATGAACCCCAGTTCCCAAATGCCCTCATGTAGAAAACAGTGTTAAAACGTAATACCCATAGAACTTAATACTAAATACCTAAAGCACCAAATAAAAATGTGTGTCTGGTTATTAATCATAGGTGAGAAGTATATCATAGATTGATAATTAGTTAATATATTACTAATATAGCTAATTAGTATTTTATATTTTAATTTTTCTCACCCATTAAAAATCCACACATTAAAAAAAAAAAATCAGGTCCTAAGAGTACGGTTCTTTCTCCTTGTAGATTTTTTTTCCCTGGGAACTAATGACTAGATGAAATTAATGAATCAAAGCATCCAACTCCTATACACGAGTGATTAATTCCTAGGAAATATTATGACATTAAATTGTATTATTACTTAATGGTCAAAACAGATCAACTCACCAAGTCGGTGTATACATTTAAGTCAGTGCTTGTGAGCACAATTATATTTTGCTTTCATTTTATTAGTGTCAGCGCAATGTTAAGAAATTCTGAATCTTTTAAGCCCTTTTCTCCTTTTGCTATATGATAGCCAGGAATAAATTTTTTAAATACTACTCAAATTACTTTACAAGTTCAGCAGTGTCAAAGAGTCTTCTCCTTTTTTAACATTTCAGCATTAATGTGAGAACGTACCACATGAAAATTTAATTTGAAAACCAATCATTTAAATTTTGATGTCTCATTTCTCTCATTTTGCCAAGTGATAAAATCTCACATACTGCACCCCAAGTCATGCATTATTACGTAGTGCAGGTTTACAAAACCACTAAATCACTTGCTGTGTTATTCGGAGAAATATCATTACAGTGGAAGAGAAACAAGCCACAAAGTAGATGTTTTGCTGAAATAAATCAAGTACACGTCTGCCTATTGAGAAAATTTTTTCCAAGTCAGAATCAAAATAGAGCTAAACGGATATGAAGCCTAATTGGAGTTGAGGATGTGACAGAATGTCCATATTACTTGATATGATGGGTGGGCAATTGGACTGTTTGCAAATGTCTGTCAGCTCACTAATGAGATCACGGGCTCAACCTGAGTGGATTAGAAGCCAACCTCCATCCTCAAAGCAAACCACACGTTTAGAACCACCTCAATATGAAAGGGTATTCAATGAGATCATTCAAAAGAATTTAGAAATTTTAGAGACTTCAAATTATAGAAATGTAGTTCCTTCTATAACTTGTAGATGTGTTGAAATTAAATAGCTTATTTACGTACACACATCACAATTAAGCGATAAAAAGGCACAAAGAGAAAAAAGAACTCTGAAGACTTTTAAACCAAAGATGTTTCATTGAGTTAAGCTTTGGGTACAGGGGCTTCTCCTTGAATTAGATTTCGAAAGCCCAAAATCGAAATGATTTTTCTTTTTTGCTTCCTGTATAGTAGAGTTACAGGAGCGGGATTTCTTTGAGTCTGTACGTACTGTGGATCTCAGTTTTCTAATAATCATGGGGACCAACAGAAATTTGGATTGAACTTCTGCACTCAAACAGCTGGTTAGGATACTGCTGCCTGGCTTTCATTAAAATGCAAAAAAGTGGCCGTTTCAAGAAGTGATTGGGCACAGAGTCACAAGGAATTAGAAAAAGTCATGATTTAGGAAGAGAATAGAGTGGTATGCCTTGCTTACCACATATAGTAAAAAGAAAAACAAAGACTGTTAGAATCACCTTCACGAAAGCACTATTTTCTCCTTTCCAATAACATAGTTGAAACTGTTACAAAGATATCCTCATAAAGCCCCAAGGCCAAGGTGGACTTGGCTGTGCTAAATTCAGTGCCATGGCAGCCAGTCTGCTTATGATGCTGTGTGAATGACAAAAAAAAAAAAAAGAAAGAAAGAAAGAAAAGAAAGCCTGAGCTTTGTGACCACCTAGAGGGGTGGGATAGGGAGGGTGGGAGGGAGGGAGACGCAAGAGGGAAGAGATATGGGGATATATGTATACGTATAGCTGATTCACTTTGTTATAAAGCAGAAACTAACACACCATTGTAAAGCAATTATACTCCAATAAAGATATTTTTTAAAAAAAGAAAGCCTGAGAATTCTCTCTTACAAATTCTAATTCTTGTCTGTTTCACGCAGGTGCGCGCTAGCGCGATCGCCCAAGACGCCGATCAGAATTACGACTATGCGAGCAATAGTGTGGTTCTTCATTTGGAGCCAGGAGACGAAGTCTACATCAAATTAGATGGTGGGAAAGCCCACGGAGGAAACAACAACAAATACAGCACATTTTCGGGATTTATTATCTATGCTGACTGATCATGCAAAAACTAAGCTTATTACTCTGAGTTTGGACACTGGATTCGTGTGGCTAACGTCAGTGAATCGAGGACCCCAGGGGATGCCGGATGCGGGGCGCCTCAGCTGTGTGTATGTGGGGAATTCAAATGCTACCTGACTCACATCTGTATACTCAGAAACATTATGTAAAAAAAAATATTAAAAGCAAGATAAGCAGATGTTGATCACTACCGCCAAAGCAAATATTCCTATTGTTCGTGTCGATGTGAATGAAGTCCTATATAGATCACAAATTTTTATAGAAAAATCTAAGACACTGAATTATTTCTTCCATATATATGATACTTTGGTGTACTGTGATCTTGCTGCTCTTATCCATATGTCAGCTTTGGTTCTTGTGAGTTTACCTGCTTATTATGATACTCGGGGTCCATTCATAGTGTAGGGAAGAATGATTTTTACCCTGCAGGAGGAGGTCTCATTGACATAATGCTGCTTTGTCCCCAAAGAAATTGTCTGCCTTGTACTCCTGTTAACTTTAGAGCTAGACCTGGGAATGATTCAACTTTAAGCCTTAACCTGGAATTTTCTGGATTTGAGGGAATTCCCAAGCCTGTGATCATGTTTCACATTCTTTTTCTTAGGAATCTTCTTTCCTCTCTTTTCGGGTGATAGTCTTTAAAAGTAGAGATTGAACTTGTATCATAGGATTACCCTCTAAGTGTGTAAATGTGTAATTACGTATGGTATTTAGAAAAATCCCCCTGTGTCCAGTTTGTCAATAGAATGCATTTAGGTTTACTTGGAAAGTCAGAGAAATTTATTCTTTAGTGTTAAATCAGACTGAGGCTTTTGCCTTCTTTGGAACAAAAGATTATTCGTAACCCAACGCATATAGGTTTAATTTGCGCTGGTGCATGCGTCACCAAGGGGACACTAAGTAAGGCCTTCAAATAGTTACTACAAGTCATGGCCTGAGGTTATTTCAACGTGAACAATTTCACATATAACCAATACGACAATAAAGTGTATATATTTTATACAAATAACCTGCTACATATATATATGTATGTGTACATATATATATGTTAGATGAAATATATGTATGGCTTCAGACCATAGGCACAATGGCTGTATAGCCCCAAAAATTTAACTTAAAGAAGTGTACGTGTAGGCACACACACAAACGTGTATAAGTTATTTGACTTATCTTGGATTGAAATATATTTTGGAAGACAAAAATATATGAAGTAGCAAAATAATTTAGATGACTTCTAAGAATTATCCAGAAAATTAAATTTTATTAGGTTAAAATGCCCCGGAAATCATGTGTCTGTAAATTAGGTCTGTGGCTTCTTTATTACCATATGCCAATCAATACTTTCACTGCGTTCTGTGGCCGACTGTTACTGTTAGGACTGCAGAGATGAAGTAGCTGTCCTTTGCAGTGTTTATGAAATATATGCATTTGAATGAGCAACGTTTTTCTTTTTTCTCAGGTGGACCGAAGCTGACAGTAAAGTAGATTTTGAGAGTAGTGCAAATCCTTCCTCTCCGGTTAAAGTACACTGCCAAAAGCCATCTCTTTAATCTAAGAAAAAGATTTAAAATGCATGTTGATACGTCCTAACTATCAGACAGCTTCCACTATTACAATGAAAAATCTGTTCCACTCTCAGGTGCCTTTGAAGACTCTTTGAGAAGTAGATTTCAAAAACAGAGATTGAAAAATCTGCCTGTTTTACTGGCGAAGGACATTTGCATTTTTTTCATTTAAAGGAATTAGTTTGTTCTGTTTGGCTCATTCCTCTTGGATACTTTCTGTTCTAATACACAGAAAGCTTGATCATCGTTGATCCATGGAAATATCTTTTATTTAGCCAACCTCAACTTTCCAAAAGAGTTATGCCTGGTGTTCCCATCTGAATGTGCTGTTTGCTTGGTTTAAATGCCTTGGTCTGAGTAACTCTCATGATTTATATGATTAAAAACATGTAAGCCCGTTTATCAAGAATAATGGCTAATTCTATTTGGCCTTTCTAATATGTAAGATAACTCATAAAGGAATTGCAGTGGATTTTATTTCCATTTAACAATATGTCTTTATCAAAGAGGAATTAGCAGTAAGGGTTTGGAGATTTTTTTTTAGGTAACAAATCATAGCAAAGGATTCAACCAAAAGATTAGCTTATAAACAGCAGAACAGGTCAACTGAGAGTTTTAAAAAGGCTTTATTTACACAAAACATCAGGGCTGGGTGTCTTTTAAAGAGTTGGCTCTAGAATCAGACTGTCACTTCTAATAGATCTGACATTTTCTTCAGATAAGTAAGCGTTATTTTCTCTGTTCAGGCCCAAGGAAAGACAAATAAAAGGTAAAGGAAATAAAGAGAATATACATAAGGCAAACATTTCTCTTTTTTTTTTTTGCATTCTATATTATTAATTAAATTGTGGCCTTTGTTACTATAAATGTAATGATTCATTAAACTATATTATGTAATATATTTTGACTTTTATGATTGAATTTTTCTAATTGAGTACTATGTCTTGTGTTCATGTCCCCTTGTACAAATTTTTCAAAACACAACAAAATTTATAGGAAAACTGGATACCAGAAAGCCACAGGCAACAAAACTGATGTATTATCAGTATATATAGATAGGTGAACAGCATATAATTAAGCTTCCACAATATTTTTACCATTGTGAGTTGGTAATTATATTACAGTATCTTTTGAAAAAACAGTCTCAAAATTTAACTCCCCTTGCTGCAGAAGCTATTTTGTCGTGCCATATCATTCATTAAGCATTAATTAAAGGACAGCAGGATAATTAGTAGAATCATCAATATTACAGGAAACATTAGATTGCTCCAGAAAGGGGTAATTTAACTAGAAACACTTTAAATTTTCTCATGCAGTGCTGGTGACAGATTAAGAAAACAAAACAAAAGGAAGCAAAACTCCACTAAGGGGATGTAGACTGTAAATCGTTGTTTGGATATGGGTACTTTTGTCTTTATTTTGTTAAGGAAAAACAATAGGGCTTAATTAGGCTCAGTAACTCCCTAAAGGTACAGATGTAATAGCCAGTTTCTGAGAAGGCGGAAGTCTTCTAATTCTCCTAAAAAGGAAATGCTCTGTCAGTCCAATGTAGCTCTGATTAATATCTCACAGTGGGTTTGAAATCCCTGTCTGTTCCCTGCAAGCTTTATACTCAAGGTATGAATTCAGAACAACCGTCCTATTTGAAAGTTAGCCATTGCTTGGGGTTCTCTATCAGTATCTTATCAAGTGCAGCCTCAGTTATGCCTCTAAACAACATTTTAGGAACAATGTTGGTAGGTATATGAGAATAGCCGTGACCTCCGTATTTCGTCAGCCGATGCTTCGTGTGTATGTCATGTGCCATCAGAATCCGACCTTCATAGCCCTCATCCACCAGAAGACGTACCCTGTGAAAAATGTTAACTCATTATATGGCATCGGTCTCACGTTTACAGTTTTCAGGGTGCCTTAAACTTTTTACTCATAAACCTATTGTGTTGTCATAAAGATACCGTCTTCCCTTGCGGCACGTGTCCTGGGAGACCCTTAATAAATATTGTGTGGTGATGATAAAGATATTACCGCACCCTAGTAGGAACATGATCCTTATTCCCTGCACACAGAAATCCCCAGCTTGTGATATTTATGACGATGCCTGGCAGTCCTGCATTAGACACAGCTTCTAACAGGATGCGCCAGTTTGCATAAGTGGCCACTTTAGCATTTTATTAAATAACTTTATTCTGGATTTGTACCCAGCTCTCCATTCTAAAATGCCTCGCTTAGTCGACCCATTTTTCAGATTTCATTCTCTCTGTCTCTCCTTTTTCTCCTAGCAAATAAAATCAACGACTGTTTGTGATTAAAATAGGGAAACAAAAGGAATCCTTGTACAAGTAGAACATTCTGAGAGTAAAATCAGTTGGTTTGAAAATGAAGGGCATATGATGAGCTTGATAGTTATTTTTAACTATCAAGTTAAAAATTATTTTTAACTATTATTGAAGTATAGTTGGTTTACAGTGTTGTGTTAATTTCTGCTGTACAGCAAAGTGACCCCATTATACATATATATGTTCTTTTTCATATCCTTTTCCATTATGGTTTATCACAGGGTATTGAATATAGTTCCCTGTGCTATACAGTAGGACCTTGTTGTTTATCCATTCTCTGTGTAATAGTTTGCATCTGCTAAACCCAAACTCCCAATCCATCCCTCCCCCACCCGCCACCCCCTTGGCAACCACAAGTCTGTTCTCTATGTCTGTGAGTCTGTTTCCGTTTCGTAGATAGGTTCATTTGTGTCATATTTTAGATTGCTAGTCATTTTTAAAAGGTCAGTTACGGTCCCTCTGCGCTATTCCTTTTGAAGCCGATGGGAATTTTGACTTAGTAGTAGTCTGGGAGCATTGGATTAAATTGGCCAATAAAAATTTACTCTTTCTTCCTTCCATTTCATTAAGATTGCTATAAATAATGAGCTGTTCCTTTAAATTTATAGTCAGTTGACTACAGAATGGCTTCCTGCCTATTGTCTAAACATCTAATCCTCTTGGCTTTGTTAAGTGCTGTAATCTGTAATGTGAGTCGGTCACCTCTGACAGCCACCATCTGTATAGGTCTGGACCCTGGGCAGTGTCTGCCGTGACTTCCATGGGTCTCTGATGGCAGGAGATGCAGCTTGGAGACCATGGCTGTTCTCTGGCATTTTCTGTCTTGTCTTGTCGATCCCTAGATTTCCAAATGGATCTAGATGGATGGGTAGCGCCTTCCGCCAAGGGCTAATTATTTGAAAGGTATCTTTTTTGTTTCAGTAGCATTTCTCGGCATTCTAGTGCATGAGTCATATTTAATAACTACTACAGCAAGCAAAATGTGGGCCACTGCATCAAAAAACTCGAGCACAAAGCCTTGCCCTCTGAGAACATACATTTTAAAAGAAATTACACTTCAAGATTAGATCTTATATTTGCAGGCCAAAGGAATGCCAGAAAAGAGCCAACCTGGGTGTTTTGTCTAGAAATCTGCATTCACATCACACGTACCTCATGTGTGTCCTAAGAATACTTAGAGTGCTGGCTGTGCCACCACCATTATTTGCTTCTTTCTTTCTTTCTTTTTATTGAAGTATAGTTGATGTACAATAGTATATGTTACAGATGTACAGTATAGTGATTCACAAGTTTTAAAGGTTATACTCCATTTATAGTTATTATAAAATATTGGCTCTATTCCCTATGTTGTACAATATACCCTTGGAGCTTATTTCATACATAATCGTTTATACCTCTTAATCCCCTACCTCTGAATTCCCTATATGCCTACCTACCCCTCTATAGGGGTAGGGCATTACCTGCCTCTCTAAGATTTGTATAATGTCCAAAAGTCCTGATCTGAAGTTACTTGTGGAACGAACTCTCTTTAAGGGAATTATTTAAGGCAGTTATATGATCGTTTATGAAAAGAGAGAAAGATTTGACAGATGCATGCACAGTGCTGAAACGTAGTGTGACAAACCTTGATCCGCAACTGAAAAGGAGTATCACCTTACAGGAAATTTTAGGGTACACTTTCCCCGGTGTATTTTCTGAGCATTTCTCAACATTTTTGTCTCTTTTCCTTGTCTGAGAAAAAGAGATATCTTATTACTACAGAGGCACATTTGTGTAAACAAATTCCTGTAAGAAGCCTGTGTCATATCCTGAAGCACAAAGCCACTGAATTGCGCAGTAGTATGGAAAGATACTCATTTCAAAATGGGAACCCTTAGAACTCATTAAGTCAAGAATCTGGAGACTAGTTATCTCATGAGAAAGAGAATGTTCTGGCTCTAGACACATAATTATATCCTGACTATCAGGAAAACTGCCTGGTCACTCCTAAAATAAGAGATCGTCTCATATGCTGCGCCATTGTGTAGAAGAACAGTATTTAGAGAGAGACCGCCAGAAGGAAGGAACCAATACAGAGGAGAAGACAAAAAATCACAGTAATTATAGCAATACAAATGAGTTCGTGTTTTGCAAACAAATATTAGAGAGAGACTACAAAGTGTGAAAAGGCAGAGATATAATAAGATTGAGAAATGGAGCATAAGATTGAAAACAGGTGTTAGACACAGAATTTCTGGTGCTGAAAACCAGAGGTAGGCAGAAGCGTGCTTCTCTGTTCTTGCACTTCAAAGCTTTGAGATTACTGAGGCTCAGAGAAGGACTGCTGATGAATGATGAAAATCAGGCGCCCAGGAGGTAGGGACAAGGGGATACACACACAACCCAAAAGTCATTTAGTAATTACCGTGAGCTGTACTTGAGTCCAGGGACTTACTGCATGGTTTTAATTTACAAAGATTAAGGATGCGTACATACACAGATACATAGATATACACAAACACACATGCACATATATATACTTTTTGATGTATTTCCGTACATCTAGAATGTTTACATTTAGCTCAGTGAAAGCTCATATCCCCATAGATATCTCCCTCTGCAGATTCCCTCTTTTATTTCAGGTCTAGGAGTGTCATGGAAAGCATAGGGATGGAGAAGATAAAGCTCACTGCCATAAACGGGCTTAGAGAAACAAAGCAGGTCCTGGGAGCAAACGTCCTATTTCCAAAATGAATTGTAAAACGTGTGTTGAGGGCATTCATCAGGAAATCATGGTTTTGAGGTCATGAAAGATGAGGAAGGTCTACACAGCACCCCGTTTTAAATTCCAGAGAATATTCACCTCTGAATATGGTCCAAGCTAGTAGGACTCTTAGGAAACCTGTTTGCCTGTATTGAGTGGTACTCCTGGGCAAGGAAATTAAAATCCTAAAACAAAACCAACCAACCAACCAATAAATCTGTTTATCAAAGAACTGGTTTGAGTAGTAAAAACACAAAAAAAAGCCCTAGGGATTCTGGTCAGAACAGTCCAAGCAGTTTGCTCGTGTAGAGCTGAGTGTCTCCATATTTATATACAAAACTACCGTAACGTCAGTCAACTCTGTCTGATGATATTAAACTTGAAGCCTGTTTTACTGTTAATAAGCTCATCAAGGAGGTCTGCCAGTACACAGGGACAGTAGAAGGCATACGTGTAAAGATAGGCTTCCCGGGGGAAAGACCCTAAGGCTGTCTGAGCTGTGGCCACTGGCTCAAGACCTCCCCATCAGACCCAATGTACATGTGTTCAACTCCTGCTGCTTGAGCCCCACAGTTTCTGGACATCACTTCTCTGCTCCAGTTTGGCTTTTACTCCCATTCCAACCAGTTTTCTACAGTCAGAACCCTGTTCTGCTCCGTGTCGCCGTGGAGAACGACTTCCACTCAACCTTCCTTTCCCCACTCTGACCAGGAGTTCCATCCTTCTACTTTTTCGCTCACCTTCTTCCACTATCTGTATTCACCCATTTGCTTCAAGCATCCAGGGATTTTCCCCTGCTGTGTTATTCCTGGACATCTCTCCATCTCTCTCTACACTTTCTTCCCTCCAGCTTGGACCTCGTGACCCTCATCTCAACCCCTCTGTGGTCCCCCCAATATCAACCACGTTTTTCAGACAGAATCCCACCCCTCAAGCTCTCTGTCTCCATCTTCTACTTCTATTCGCAAAATTTCTTTGGTCCTACTACCAAAACACAAAACATTTTTTAGGAAAATAATCACCAAATCATGGACATTGGTGCCAGTGGACAGTCATGCAGTCATGATCTCTGGCCTCCACTGGGTCTTCCACACAACAGTATCTCTCATTCATTCACCATCCACTCCCAGCCTTTATCCTCCTCTACAAGGTCCTGCCCTGAATCCGTTCCTTCCTTCTCAGGAGATGACCGTGTCTCCTTCACAGGCGCCCTAGAGATCACACGGGACCATGTGTCCTCAGTTTCCTGTTCCTCTCACCAAAACACCGTTCTGCACTCACTCCATTACCTGCCGCACCTGCTTTCGTTTCCATGGAGAAAGTATACCTCCTTTCAACCAACTTCCTATTTGCTGCCCAGATTCCATCTCTTTGTCTCCTCAGGAGCCTTCCTCTGTATCTCTTACCTGTCCAGATTTTTTTTCAGTTAACATTGACGGACCACTTCCATAGTCTATCCCAGACACTCAGCTAAAAACCGCATATTTTATTTCATATAAATTCTATAATAACCCTGTAGATTAGGCACCACTTCCCTGGATTCATTCTCTCTGTCCCCTAACAAAACCTTCCTTTGGTCCTGTCTGGACTTCTAGCTCCAGCGCTCCAGCCCTGCTTCCCTTTACTATCAAGCTTCTTGAAAGAGTAGCCTCTGTCCTCTTCGTCCCCTTCTACTCGTTCCTCAAGCCTTTTCTGCCAAGACTGCACTTATTGACTGAAATAAAGACTTCCTGGGCTTCCCTGGTGGCGCAGTGGTTAAGAATCCATCTGCCAATGCAGGGGACACGGGTTCGAGCCCTGGTCCAGGAAGATCCCACGTGCCACCAAGCAACTAAGCCCGTGTGCCACAACTACTGAGCCTACGCTCTAGAGCCCACGAGCCACAACTACTGAAGCCTGCGTGCCTAGAGCCTGTGCTTCGCAACAAGAGAAGCCACCGCAATGAGAAGCCCGCACACCACAACAAAGAGTAGCCCCCACTTGCAGCAACTAGAGAAAGCCCGTGTGTAGCAAAGAAGACCCAACACAGCCAAAAATAAAATTAAAAAAAAACAAACAACTTCCTGATTGTGAAATCCAATGGATACTTTTCAGTCTTTATCTCACTTGATATCTGCCACATATTAAGAGTGTTCAAGCCCTTCTGCTTTAAGTATTCTTCTCCAACAACTTTCATAAAAATGCATTTCTCTGATATTCTTAATGCTTTGAAAATTTCTCAACCTGTCTCTGAGGGTCTGTTCCTGAGTTCATCCCTTAAGTGTTGGCGGTCACCAGAGCTCTGTCCTCATTCTCTTCTCTGAGTGATCTCATTCATTCCTACGCTTCCAACTGTCACATGCAAGCCAACAATGTCTAGATTTATGTCCAAGTCTCTGTCCTGAGCTTCACACCCTTATCCCAGGGCCCCACCAGATAGCAACACGATATTCCCAAGATAAAGTCATCCTGTCAATCCCAAATCTATTTATCCTCCCACATTCCCTAACTTGGTGCATTCAGTCTTCATATCACCATGTAACCAAGACAAACCAGGTAGCATCCAGCCTTGACTCCGGAAATTTTCCACTTGGTTGCAGAGAATGACTTGTACAATTATTTGGATTTTATGTAATGTTTGACCTTTAGACATTATACTTATAGCCTGTACGTTGCAGTCACCTCTTTAGTGAATATTTTAAGTAAAGCATTTCAAAAATTAATTATAGGAGGTTAGGACCTCAGGTGTGGCCAACCTGAGAAAGAAACAGCTTACTTTGTTAAGAGTAAAAAAGAGGGAAATGTCTTTTGTTCTTTTATTGTCAGAGCAGAGACTGAGTATTGTCTGTATTTCTTATCAGCTGCCCATCTGCGCTGAACTAAGGCTTTGCGAAGCTTCTGCCTACTTAGACTGATTCATTTTCTCCTCAAAATAATATATAGAGATTTGCCTTCCTGAAACAGCATTGGTATATTTTTCTCTGCAAGTCCCTGGTCCTGCCTGCTTACTGTTTTCTGAATCTTTGCTAATACCCACCCAGATAAGAAAATCCAAAAGAGATGGTAAAAGGAAATACCATGAGGGATTTCATCATGTTTACCTTTCAATTCTTTTATTATCATTGGGCATCCGGGTTGAACTGATAATGGAAAAGTTCAGAACCAAAGAGATCATATTCCAAGTAACAGCCAAGTTGAGCCAACTCCAGTAGTTCCCTCTTGTCAAGGAGAGTCCTAGAGACAATGAGACAGACATATTGTTACTCTTTGTTTGTTTGTTTGTTTGCGGTACGCGGGCGCCTCACTGTTGTGGCCTCTCCCGTTGCGGAGCACAGGCTCAGCGGCCATGGCTCACGGGCCCAGCCGCTCCGCGGCATGTGGGATCTTCCCGGACCAGGGCACGAACCCGCGTCCCCTGAATCGGCAGGCTGACTCTCAACCACTGCGCCACCAGGGAAGCCCCATATTGTAACTCTTAAGAGCATATTTTCCAGGTACTTCCCTGGTGGCCCGGGGGTTAAGGCTCCAAGCTTCCAAATGCAGGGACGCCAATTTGATCCCTGGTCGGTCGGGGAGCTAAGATCCCACATGCCACGTGGTATGGCCAAAAACAAACAAAAAAACAAGAGCGTATTTTTCACATATACAGATTCAAAGTTTTAAGCACACCATGTACTGGAATGTAGTTGAAATCAAGTAAAAGAACTTTTAAGTTGGCTTTTATGATGTGACTATAAAATAGTTCAATTTGTTACCAGAAATTAGGGAGAATTCCCATCCAAAAGGGAGTTTTCCCATCTCAAGGACTTGGGAACTGTAGACATTTTAATTATGCTGCCATCTCCGAAACAATTTTGTAATTCTTTTTCAGAATTGTCTTCAGGATATGCTCCGTATTCCTTTGAAAATCCTTAGTGCGACTGCTGTGAACTGTGGAAACTATCAGAGGAAATTTGGCATCAGGACTGGAGAATTAGGTGAGTAATACTGATCTGGATAAAACAGGAAGCCAAGGTAAGGTAACAGGGCGATTTTCTTGTGAGGATCTGTTCTAAAATTAATTCCAAAGCATATGTGAATATCATTGTGATTTTTTTTAGAAAAAGGAGGGGCAATACTCCTACAGATATTTATGTTCTGGTGTGTTTATTTTTTAAACAGAATTTATTATTTTATGATAATTTTACGGCTATCGTCTCACTTCAGTAGAGATCATAGTAAAAATATCACTCTTTGTAAGACTGTGTAAATGAATGGGAAAAGGAGAAAAATATAGGATGAGTGCAGGCTACAGACAGAAGAGTTGAGTCTGGAACGAGTAGATTATCTCAAGAAATTGAGACTCTAACAAGTAAAAAGGAGGCCTAAAATTAACTCCCAAAATGCCATCGTAGAGATTCAAGCACAGAGAGAAATAGGAAAGAAAGAAAGAAAAAATCCTACCAGGAGGCAATATGGAAAAAATGTGAAGGAAAAAATACACCTCATTAAACATTGTGTGAAAGGAGTTAAGGACCTAGAGGAAGGAAGTGATTGTTTGGGATCCAAGATGGGCTTGGAGAAGAGTTGCAACGTCAGATAATCCTTGTCTTATTAGGGTTTTATCCATTCTGATATCCTATTACTTTGGCAATGCCAGGATGCAAGGATTAAAGCACTATTGTATGTCTATAAATCTGCTTCTAAGGGGTCAGAAGTATTTTCAAAGCCTCTCTTCCAAACCCTAGGAGGACCAATTAAGCCTCTGTGTCCGAGTGTGAGAGGGCTCTGCTGTCCTGGGCTGCTGCCGGAGAGTTGGTCTTGACCTTCACTCAGCCATCATATCGTAGCTGGCTCGTTTTTATTCTGTTCACCCGTTTAGCGTAACTTAGAGTTCACGATGTTGTTTAAGGCAGGGAGGCTAAAAACGTCTTTCCTTTATGCTATAAAATGCACATTAGCTCTGTGCTACCTTCTATTAATACCACTCCTTTTCTATCTTCTTACCATGGAGACCATTTTTGCTTCCAAAATTACTAGGCTAAAAGAATATGTGTTTTACTATAGTAAACATATTCTGTTTTCCCCAAAGAACCATGCTTAAAAATGAAATATACACAATTAAAATAACATAAGGGGGAAGAGATAAGTTTAGTATTTTTTTCCTTTTCTAAAATTTTTTATTATTTTTGTCTGTGTTGGGTCTTCGCTGCTGCGCGCGGGCTTTCTCTAGTTGTGGCGAGGAGGGCTACTCTTCGTTGAGGTGCACGGGCTTCTCATTGCGGTGGCTTCTCTTTGTTGCAGAGCACGGGCTCTAGGGTGCGCGGGCTTCAGTAGTTGTGGCTCGTGGGCTCTAGAGCGCAGGCTCAGTAGTTGTGGCGCACGGGCTTAGTTGCTCCGTGGCATGTGGGATCTTCCCGGACCAGGGATCGAACCCGTGTCCCCTGCATTGGCAGGTGCTTCTTAACCACTGTGCCACCAGGGAAGTCCCAGTGCTACATATTTTATCCTCAAAGGACATTTTCCAGAATTACGTTGACTTTGTGTGCACACTGTGTGTTTTAATTTTTATTTTGAAATGTAGTTCCCTCCCCGCAGTACCCTCAAAAACTGCACTTGAAAAATGGAACTTATCCAAAAAAGTAAGAAAGGCTTAGTTTGTGGAGGTCTTCAATCAGTAGCTCAAAGCATAACGACATATAATAGACAGGATTTGACCATTACAGGTATTTTGGATATTTCTAATAATATGCTCAGAGGAGGAGAAGGAACTATATTAATTGTGACCATTGCTTACTTTCTTACTAGGAGACTTATGTTGCTCTAAGCCTCTTACAAATACTAAGTGGCACATATTAAGGGTCTTCTATAATGAGGTCCTCTCTCCTGAAGTTCAGACCTGCATGCCTAATGGCTTGCCGTCTCTACTTGGTTGTCTAATAGGCAACTCAAGCTTAACATGCCTTGAACTAAACCCCTCATGTCCTGCCCCAAACTAGCTGCTCCAACTAAGTTGATGGCAACTCCATCCATCCAGTGCTCAGGCCAAAAATCCTGGAGCTTTGTCCTCTTTCTTCCTCTGAGTCACTCTACATCTAGCCCATCAAGATAGACTTTTGGTTTGACTTTCAAAATAGGACCAGAATCCAAATACGTCACCACCTCCCCTGCTACCCTCCTGGTCCAAAACACCATCTTCTCTTGCAGGATCCCTGCAATAGATTCCCAAGTACTCTCCCTACTTCTCTACCTTTCCTCTGTTACAGTCTTCCAATACAGCAACCAAAATCTATCTACACACCTAAGTCAGATCAGGTCTCTCCTCCCCTCACAACCCACCAATAGCTCCCCATTTCCCTCCGAGAAAAAGCCAGGGCCTTAACCGTGGCCCACGAGGCCCTGAGTGATCTTCATGGATGTGGTCTTCCAAAAACCTCATCTCAGAGAGGGCTGGGGAACGTAGGCATCTAGATCTCCAGATGTCAATTATATATAAATCCTGCCTGTATTGGAAATGTTATCGGAAGAATGGTACCGTAGGCAGGGATCACTTTCTAGAGGAAGACGAACATGTTCAGTAAGATTCATCTACACATGGAAGTTTCAAATGTAATCCCTGGGAATTCTTACCCTGTAGAACAGCACGTAGAAAGGAGTGTGTCTTTGAGGGAAATGGTCCCTCTGTAAAACACTCTTAAAAATTTCACAGTCATATGTAGGCGAGAATATTTCAGAAAAGAAGCAGTTAAGCTGATTTTGACCATCAGGAGAATGCTGTTTAAAAAGGAGGCAGACAAATTTGCTGTCATTAGAAAGCCAGGATAAATACACACACACACATACATACAGGTATGTACATACATACATACATACATATTATTATTATTAGTGACATTTGATGATGTGACACACCCTAGATAACTGAACATTAGTGTGAAGGCAACTAAGATATGAGTGCACTTAAATTCTCCCTATTGAAGGAGGAAACATAGTATAAAATCCATGGGGAAAAGTAGGTCAATGATCAGACATACTTTTCAGAAGACAGCCCTGAAAATAAAATGAGTTTGGTATTAGATATTCATGAGGCGGTAGGATGGAGAAGTAGGTGAAGCAAGAAAATAAAACAATAATCCTCAGGCAAAATAAACGGCCCTGTCTCATTTAATCTTTACAAAAACGACATGAGAAAAGTATGATCATCCCCATTTTATAGATGAGGAAACTAAGTCTCAGAAAAGCTTGTAAGTCTCAACTTCCCAAAGGTGGTGAATAAATGCAAATTGCGTTCGTCTTCAGAAGCCATGTTCTTAGACCCTGCGGCCCCTTTTGTGATGACAGCATTCACCCGCCTCAGCTGCTCCATTCCTTACGTCAGCACTTACCTATGGAGAAAAACACCCCATCACAAAAGCATCTCACCTTGCACCGTGAATGTCTAACAAGGTGACTTAACTACATTAAACTGACATTCAGCTGGATGACTTCCAGGGATTGTCAAGGTGCTACTGAAGTTGCGTTTATGCATGTGAATTTTTTTTCACTTGGAGAAAGAATTGACCCCAGATGTCAAAATGGTACCAGGGGAAAATGTACTCTGCCTGACGTCTGTCAGAAGAGGATTAAACGGAGGTCCTGCCCCTCAATGATCTCATAGCACTTCTTATAAGAGCGAAGGTGTCAACCGCAGCCAGTTTTCCTCATTCCATATTCTATATCCATGAATAATTATATTCTCTCTTATTCCAGTCTTCCCCAGCCTTTAAGGTATATATCTTTCACCTCTTGCCCTAAATAGTCAATGAGGTGACTCTGAGATGCAGAAGAGCTACTGCATTTCACACTGGAGAAAGTCCCTTCTTCCAGGTGAATGAAGTTGATTGCAATGTCATTTGTAAAATGTCCTGAGATTTCCCAAGAGGAAGATGAGGTGCTCGAATCAGGTATTTGTTCTTGTTATTCACGCTATATCATTCTTTTGTTGCATGTTTGACACTTTGGCTCTTCAACCAGTAAACAGATTCTCTCTATGTAAGGAACGGGCTTATATTTATGACACATATATTGCTATTGACTAAGAAAATGGTTCTCTGATGCCATTTGGCTATCTTTGTTTTCAGAATATGGTTATCACGTACATACATGTTTTAAGGCCAGTATTAAAACGCAAGACAGTTGGTTCTGTTTTTCAAACCTCTTTATATTCTAGATCTGATCCAAGAGCTGAGGGGTGTAGTTTAATGTCAAAATGCACT